TAGATCTAAACTAAAATCCAATTACCAGCATTTGTGTGATTGCAATCCCAGTTAGGACAAGAGTGCCAGTAAGCTGGCCGTTGTGCCAGTAAGCCCGGTTTCTGACTTCTGAGAGTTCAAAAGACTAAAGACTGCCGACTAGTGACACAATGACCAGGCAGCTAGTGATATTAGGAACATAATGACCATGTTAGCCTGGCCCTCTAAAGTAATGATGTTTAAGTAATGACTTTTTCTACTGCTTGTTTCTCTGCCAGACCCTCTTCTTTCTCCAATTGGTTTTGGATTCATTTGTCCATTTCAGTCTGTTTTTTACAAAAGTGTAAAAGTACTAGGTTCTTGTGGTAAGCTGAAGCACCAGGTTCAAAAGAGGTTTGTGTCACCTAACAAATGGGTATACAAGAAAGACACAAATTAGTAGCAGTTGTTGTGGTATGGGTTGCAAGACAGTAAGATCATAGGAAATCAATTGCTCTCAGTTCTCTTGCTTACAGAACAACTTGTATTCTTGTTGGGAACAGGCTAGACTCATTTTGCACGTTGATTCTCTTGTGATTTCAAATAGTCATAACAATTCACTTAAACCTGCTTCAGCAATGTGGCTTAAATACATTTGATCCAGACAAGAGTTAAAGTAATTAGCTGACATTTGATTTTACTTGATATGGATCCAAACCATGAAACTTTGAACACCCTTAGAGTTCAGAAGTGTTTCATTCAGTGTTTGGGTACTAGTCTGTGTTCTCAAGTAACCTTTTTGAAAACTTGGCAATTTTCATCCCAGATTTAAAATAAAATAGTCACATAGGGAATCAAGTCTATAAATGCTTTTTCTTTAAATATAGAGATGCTCTAGAGTGTAGTTGTAGAAGCAGCAGGCAGAAGGAATAGAAAATGTGTTATCTGTATAAAGGTGTGTGTGTTTGTGTGTGGTGTTCACACTGGTGTACGTATTTACGTGGCTCTACAAAACATTGTTCCTGCTGCAAGGACCTTCCAAGTTTAACAGACAGCCAGGGCAATCATGCGCTTTGAGACCCAGAGGACGATGCTAACTTAGAGCATGTGTGCATTTTCAGTTTTATGATGTGACGACAGCAGTGCTCTGACACTGGTTAACATTTGTGGGTCTTGTGGAAGGAGCAAGTTTCCATGAGGGATTTGGCTGGAGGAAGCCTGCCTGCCTGGCATACGGAGTTGAGGAGGGTGTTCCAGGCAGGATCGAAATAGAGATGAGTAGCGTGATGTTTGACAGTGAGTCTAATGCAGCTGGTAATTTGGAATGTGATTGACCATGTTATGTAAGCTCATTAATTGTTCTCACAGCCTAATACAGGAGGAAAAAGAAGAGGTTATGAAGAAACTCAAAAGGAAGTGTATAGATGTTTCTACTGAACACAGAGGCGTTTGCTTCCTCCTTCAAAGAGCAATTATATGAGAACTGAAAAAGCTATATGTGATAAGAATACATTGTATTTGCTATATTAAGAAAACAAAATGGAAAGGGAAGACTTTGGGGCAGGGGAAATTTTGTGGGATTTAATTTTAGCCTGTGTACATAGGGGCAAAGAGAGAAAGTTAAGTTGGTGTCTTCAAGATGGTATGCCTATGTGACACCAAAACCAGTGCTACAGTATTTGATTTGTTAAAGTATATGTTCGGTGTCCAAATAATTTGGCCGTAAAGCGTATCATCATTTCCCCTGCTTTGGGACAAGTTAAACTGACAGAAAGATTGCAGAAGTCAGTATGCTTCCCATGAAGCTCTGAAAATAATATAAGCCACGACAACATGGAAGAACACTGATTCTGTGATACACCCATCACAATAACTTACTGTATGCAAAATACCTGGAAATTATTCAGTTTGACACCTAAGCAGCACAGTGGGAAGTTTTCAGATTCTTTCATGAGGTTTACTCACTGTATTACAGCATACAAATGATGCTATCTCCCTGTACCATTGTATATTCTTCAGTGGTTTTTTGTTTTTTTTTTTTTTTTGCTTAATGTGGTAAAGGAAGAAAAGAAAAATATCTGATGCTCTTTTAGTTTTTTATTATAACTTAGTAACTAGGAGAGCAACAGGGAAGGTCATCACTGTGTGACCATTAATTATGTGACCGTCTTGAACTGTTATCCAAATTCAATGTGTGAGTTTAATAATCATTCATTTAAGTAACAAAACATGTGTCACATCTATAATACCTCATATCTGAGGATTTCAGAGCAGTTTACAAGTTTCGATGAACTGAATCTCACAAAGTTTCTATAAGAGGGGAAAAAAATACAGTCATAGAAATTACAAATTGTTTATTAAGGCTGATCAGGAAATAAAGGAGGAGAGTCTCGATGTCATAGTTTGGGGAACCTGCACACAACTTAAAAATTACTGTGTTATTGAACTCTTTCATATATCTTGTGTTGACCTTCAGCTGTGAAAGATGTGTCATCTGTCTGCTAAATAAAGGATAGCACAGGAAAATGGAGGATCACTTTATGCTGTTAGCTCGTTTTCACGTGACAGTATGTTAGGATAGAGCTATGGCTGAAGCCCAGAGAAGTCAGCATAATTAAATTTGTCTGCGGAACAAGGGGTTATCAGCAAAGACATCTTACCAGAAAGAGAAAAAAGAGGTACTTGAGGAGAGTAACACGTGAGCAGTCACAGACAAAGGAAGGTTGGACAGTAGAGTCAAACTGAGACACATTTTGTAGCCAAGAAGTCTGAATTGTAATGGGGATCAATGGGGGAAGGCAGACATGAGACCTGCATGGACACTACAAATTTATCTGCTCCAGAGCCTAATCCCTGCTCCTCAAGCCACACTATTGAGAATAGTAGCCTTTAGGTAGATCCGTGCTGTTCAGCGATTGGCCTGGCCCTAAGTCATAATCATATACATGCTGTTTATGAGATCCTGACTTGAGCTGATTCAAACTCCGAAAAACACTTTGAGTGGTGAATAAATTCAGGCATCTTGCATCTTTATTTTTGCTTTACTCCATTTAATTCTTTTGTTAGAGTACTGGCTTCTCTGAGGAACCTTGAACAAGCTGGAGGTACAGATTTACTGAGAGTGAGATGCAAGGAGACTAAAATGGAATTCAGAAGTCTGCAGGATTGCCCACCATGTGTTAAGCAACAAGTGCTTTAGAGTACATGGTCACACATTATTTGATGTGGTTACAGATAGGCAATCCCTGCTGACAGTGAGATGAGGGATGCCCCAGGCTTAGCTCATCATCTTTTTGTTGCTTTTCTTGTAGGTCTTTGGAGATGTGGATTGTGAATGAGAATAGTTGCAAGGTGAACGGTAGGAAAAGTTATATCTGAGGTCTGGTGGGCAACAGGAGATGGGAACTGGTTCAGGGGTATAAGGCAGTTGGTCTAGTAGGGTGTGTCAGTACAAAAGGGTTAACAGAGAGCCAAAGAATCATACATACACCATGGAGAGTAAGGATGCTGTTCCCATCAAGAGGATCTCACCAGGTGAGCCTGGTGCCAGAGGACTCCACCACTCGAAGTGTCCCACTGACTGAGCTATTTCACATTGGATCGCTTGGCTTCTCATCCTGTCTCCCACCCACTAGGATTATTTTGTACAGATCGGAGTTGAATGCTGTCATGCTGAACTTGGTGAGGCATGTGTGGGGGATGGGAGCAGAGAAGGAGTGGGAATGTGGTGTGCAGATGTGTGAAGGTGAGAGTAAAGCTTATCAGCTACTGGATCCAGAGCGTGGTGGGCTTTTCCTTTTTTCTTTTCCTGGCTCTGTTGGTGAAGTCATGCATTGAACAACCTCAATTATCCATCCATCCATCCATCCATCCATCCATCCATCCATCCATCCATCCATCCATCCAAGATAAAAGTGCCAGAGTACTATGCTAGAGTGTGAATACTTTAAACATTTAAAAAATATGACAATTAAGCATAGTCCTTGCCCTTTTGGCCAGCTGCTCTCAGGGTGGCCTCTATTAAACAGCTTTGAGACCCCAAAGACACTTTTTTTTCTGTTGCATGTTTTTCTTTTGTTTCCAGTAAACCAGGCTTGAACTGGCAAATTTCTGTGAAGTCCTGTAGCCAATTTAGTATTTTAAACAGACCTGTTAAGTAAAGCTGTTTTCAGGAATGTCTTGAGCTATCCTGCCTCTGCTAACCTGCTGTGATGACTTGGTGCCTGAGAAGGAGTTGTAAGTCCATGGGGACGGAGAAGTGTTCTGCAACCCTGCAGAAAGACAGGATAATAAAAGCTCATAAGGGCAAAGAGTGATGCAGCTAAGTTTTGTGTTTATCAGTCAAGTAATTTAGAAGAAAAAAAAAAACAAAAAACAAAAAACCCAGAGAACAGAATTGAAGGGACAGCAGCTGGTGACATGAAATGGTAATATGCACTAAATACCCTCCTTTGGTAACGTTTGTGAATATGATTTTCAGCTCATTTTGGGTAGAAACTTGTAGGAAAAGGCTCTTAGAAGTTTAAACTGCTACTCTATTATTTTGGAAATAATTGTCTTGACATTCTCATTAGAAAGACCAGGAAGGGAATGCGAGAAGACAGTTGTTCTAGGACCCTGAGAGCTATGGGACAGCACGCATTGCTAGTGCTGTACCTGTTTCGTAGCGTTCTCTACTCTTAACAGTGCTTTCTTCACGAGTCAGAAATTGCATTGGTGTGATTGATGGATTTCCATGGACATACCATTCCAGGTGCATATATCAGGATGCCGATGTTCTTATACTTTGTTGCTGTTGTGTGCTTATGTCCCCAGCTTCAAACTAGAATTCACCAGCTGGGTTTTACTTACGTTACGCTGGTGAACTTTATGTAGCTTTCTCTCTGCTTACCTATACCTTTATTTCCAATGTTTGTAAATTCATTAAATTGCCCTACATAAAATTAAAAATAAAGAGATTGTGTTTCTTTCTATTCACTTGCCAATGCAGATGTATGAGAGTGAATGTGCTTTCAGAATGCTTCTTTCAAAACTACTTTTGCACGGTCGATAAGTAACACTTGAGAGGGAAGAAGACCTCCAGCCAAAATAATTTCCAAATGATCTTAAAGTGTAATTTATCTTCTTATTTTGCAGCTAGCTATGGACCAAATCCAATTTGCAAAGGCTGTTTATCTTGTTCAAAGGATAATGGGTGCATCAGATGCCAACACAAGTTATTCTTCTTCCTACGAAGAGAAGGAATGAGACAATATGGTGAATGCTTTCCTGCCCATCGGGGTACTACGGACTCCGAACGCCAGATATGAACAGATGTTCAAGTGAGTTTTTTTGAACCCTTACATTCACTTTTGTAGGAAGACCATAATTCACACTCATTTTTTAAGATGATATGTTGTGGAACATGGTGATATTTTCACAGATGTCTCAAGATCATCATAAAACTTCTTTGCTAAAGAATGTCCCAGCTCATTCCAAGATATGTAACATTCGGCAGATCAAATAGTTGATGGATTAACCTAGTTTTTATTGTTGTTGTTATTTTTATTGTTGTTATTGCTTTTATTGTTACTATTGCTTTATGTAGAAGGGTCACCGCCACAATTTTGGGTTTTTTGATAGTGAGATGGCCTATACGGCACCAGGCTTGCTGGTGTCAGATGGGATTCGCCTTGATCAAAGGGAAGAGATTCTTTGCTTATGAGCTAGTGGGGCTACTGACAGGGCTTTAAACTTGACTTGAAGGGGGAGGAGGATAGTATCAAGCTTGCCTGTGACAAGCTGTGGGATGACACACCAAGGTTAGAGGGACCGGATGCTAGTGAGGGCCCTCAGCCTCTGTTGCTCTGAGAGGTGCTGGCTACACTGGAGCACAGTTGAAGTCTTAAGGAGATGAGCCAGGGGCTAGTGAGGTAATAGAAGCCAACAGGCAAACACCAGTGAAATACCTCAAAGGAATTAAGGGATGTTCCTCCAAGAGCCCAGCTGAAGTGCCTCTACAGCAACGCACGCAGCATGGACAACAAACAGGAGGAGGTGGAAGCCACTGTGCTGCTAGAAAGCTACGACCTAGTTGCCATTATGGAAACTTGGTGGGATGAATCCCATGACTGGAGTGTGGCTATTGATGGCTACAGGCTGTTCCGAAGGAACATGCGAGGAAGGAGGGGCAGAGGCGTTGCACTCTACATCAGGAAATGGATAGAGTGTGAAGAGTTGTCTCTGAAGAACAGCCATGATCAGGTTGAAAGCTTACAGATAAGAATTGGAGATCTAGACAACAAAGGGAACCTTGTGGTTAGGTGTCTACTACAGGCTGCCTGATCAAGGGGAGCCTATTGATGAAGCGTTCTTACTCCAGCTACAGGAGGCATCGCGCTTGCGGGCTCTCATCCTGCTGGGGACTTCAACCACCCGACATCCTCTGGAAAAGTAGCACAGTGAGTTGTAGGCAATCCAGGAGACTCCTGGAGCGCAGTGATGATAACTTCTTACGTTAAGTAATGGACAGCTCTACCAGAGGGGATGTGATAGTGGACCTGATGGTCACCAACCCAAGTGAGCTACTCAGTGATGTCAAGATTGGAGGCAGTGTGAGCTGCAGTGATCACGCACTGGTGGAATTTGCAGTCCTGAGGGATACGGGTCAGGCAAAGAGTAAAGTCAGAACTCAGAATTTTAGGAAAGCAAACTTCCAGATGTCCAAGGAATTAGTCAATAGGACCCATGGGAAACTGCCCTCAGGGACAAGAGCTGGTGGATCTTTAAGGATGCTTTCCACAGAGCACAAGAGCTCCCGATCCCCACATGTAAAAAATCAGGCAAGGAAGGCAAGAGACTGACATGGCTGTGTTGAGACCTGCTGGTCAAACTAGAGGGCAAGAGGGGAAGGCACAGGCAGTGAAAGCAGGGACACGTATCTTGGGAAGAGTATAGGGACGCTGCCTGGCTGTGGAAGGATGGGGCCAGGAAGGCCAAGGCACAGATGGAGCTGAACTTGGCAAAGACTGGGGGAGCAAAGTCCCTCGTACTGTAAGAGAAGATCAAGTTTGTGACCGCATGAGGAACCTGAACATAAGTCTATGGGACCTGATGAGATACATCCAAGAGTCCTGAGGGAATTGGCTGATGTAGTTGCCAAGCCATTCTCCGTGATATTTGAAAAGTCATGGCAGTCAGGTGAAGTCCCTGGTGAATGGAAAAAGGGAAACATCGCACCCATTTTAAAAAATGATAGAAAGGAGGGCCCTGGGAACTAGTGACCTGTTAGTCTCACCTCTTGTGCCTGGGAAGATTGTGGAACAAATCCTCCCAGTAGCTATGCTAAGGCACATGGAGGACAGGGAGATGATTTGAGATAGCCAGCATAACCAAGAGTAAGTACTGCCTGACTGACCTAGTGGCCTTTTGTGATGGAGTGACTACATCAGTGGATAAGGGAAGAGCTATGGATGTCGTCTATTTGGACTTCTGTAAAGCCTTTGACATGGTAACTCACAACATCCTTCTCTCTAAATTGGAGAGAGATGGTTTTGATGGGTGGACTATTCGGTGCATGAGGAATTGGTTGGATGGTCGCATCCAGAGGGTAGAGGTCAATGGCTCCATGTCCGGATGGAGACTGGTGACAAGTGATGTCACTTGGTAACGGGACCAGTACTGTTTAGTATCTTCATCAATGACCTAGGCAGTGGGATTGAGTGCACCCTCAGCAAGTTTGCAGACAACACCAAGTGAGTGGTGCAGTTGAGATGCCTGATGGGATGACATGCCATCCAGACAGACCTGGACAAGCTCAAGAAATAGGCCTGTGTGAACCTCGTGAGGTTCAACAAGCTGAAGTGCAAGGTCCTGCACCTGGATTGGGGCCACTCCGGTGTCAATACAGGCTGGGAGAGGAAGGGATTGAGAGCAGCCCTGAGGAGAAGGACTTGGGAGTATTGGTGGTTGAAAAGCTGGACATAAGGTGGCAATGTGTGCTCGCAGCCCAGAAAGTCAACTGTGTCCTGGGCTGCATCAAAAGAAGTGTGGCCTGCAGGTCGAGGGAGGTGATTCTGCCCCTCTGCTCTGGTAAGACCCCCACCTGAAGTACTGCATCCAGCTCTGGAGTCCTCAGCGCAGGAAAGACATGGACCTGTTGGAGTGGGTCCAGAGGAGAGCCACAAAAATGATCTGAGGGATGGAGCACCTCTCCTTTGAAGACAGGCTGAGAGAGTTGGGGTTGTTCAGCCTGGAGAAGAGAAGGCTCCAGGGAGACCTTATTGCAGACTTTCAGTACTTAAAGGGGGTCTGTAAGAAAGATGAGGAAAAACTTTTTAGCAGGGTCTGTTATGATAGTACAAGGGGTAGTGGTTTTAAACTAAAAGAGGGTAGATTTAGACTAGATATAAGGAAGAAATTTTTTACGATGAGTGCGGTGAAACACCAAGACAGGTCTCCCAGAGTGGTGGTAGATGCCCCATCCCTGGAAACATTCAAGGTCAGGTTGGACAGGGCTCTGAGCAATGTAATCTAGTTGAAAATGTCCCTGCTCACTGCAGGGCAGTTGGACTAGATGACCTTTAAAGGTCCCTTCCAACCCAGACTACTCTATGATTCTGTGAAATTTAGGAAAGAATGATGATTTAAGCAGATACTCCTAGTTTTAAAAAACATTCCCATTATATGAAAATAAAAAGCATTAAACATGAATTTAACAGTGCCTCATGTAGGTACTAGTCAGTATAGGCACTGATACATGGGTGGGCTTCTTGTCATGCTTTTTGTTCCCACACAAATTTCAGGTGACCAGACACCTCACACCAGACATGCTTTAATATGTAAGTGTTGCTATTTTAATAAAGCAGATGTACTATTAAAAACAAACAAACAACCTTTCACTTTTAGTACTACGTTTTATTTGGAAATTTACTACCTGCTAATGTGCAACAAGATTCCCTGTTTGCATGTTTGTGCCTAGAAGCACAACTGTTAAAACCACCGAGTGCTCTGGTATCTCTACGCATTGTTTCACCACTGTCTGGCAGTTGTGCTGATTTGTGTCGAGTTTTCCGTATGCTCATATGTGGATTATTAGCCATATGGATTTTTAATCATTGCCTTTACCTCTTATTCGTATTTATTGGCGGTTTTTTTTTTGTGTATGGGTGTCATAGTCTAACCAGAATTAGGTCACTGAACTTAAGAACCTGAAGTGAGAAATAGCTTTTTTTTTTTTTTTTCTGGAATAATCAAGTGTCCGTCAGTACTGCGGCATGTCTCTGGGACACACTGCATTGTGAGAAGGCGGGTGCTGACTTTCACATCACACATAATCTTGAGACCCATGTGAGGTCACCCCGTGGCAGTCCTTGGACCCGTCCCAGCCCGTGCAATGACATCTCACCTCTTTCTCCTCGTTCCCTGTGTGGGCTCCCTGGATATGGTATTCTTCACGTTGTATTCCCAACTGCTGTGTAATATTGCCGAGTGCTGCCTAATCTATACCAGGTGGCTAAGTTTTGATGAAAAATTAAATGAGATCGGTGTATGGTTTATGTATCCCTTCTGTAAAGTTATTGAGGATCTTGGCCTTAACTTCCGTAACACGCTTGTGAATTCAGCGACTTGTCCACTTTAAAGCTTTCAAAACTGGGCTGTAATAACTTGCCCGTGTAAAAATGTTTCTGACTATAGTTAGAGTTTTGGGAAATAGATGAATTTATCTATATTAGCCCATGCTATGCTTGTGAGATAGGAAATGTAGTTCATATTGGCAATCTTTCTTTACCTTCTTAAAAAGAAAAAAAGTTGTTTGCAGAAGGCAGATGGTCAATTCGAATAACTTTTTTCATTTTTACCACTTACAGAAAGTGGCCTTTGTCCCTGAATTACAGGATTGGTTTTGAAAAGCATAAATGCAAGTTGTGTCCAACCCATATTGGCGTGTGTTGAGCGCTGGATATTTAACTCGCCCTCATGACTTTGGCGGTCTCCCTCTGTGAGAATAATGAGACAGTTGCATTTACCAACCAGTCCTGGTTCCCCTCCAGTGATTTTTGTATTGTATATTTTTATTTTGTTGTAACTGCCAGCTGGTGTGTTTATAAATCACATCTTCATTTTTGTTCTCGATTTGGTGATCTTGCATGGCACATACATTGCATTGTGGACATACAGACGTTTTGTGGATTGAAGTTGAGTTAAAATAAACATTCTTAAAAAATAGAACAGGTTTCTTCCTACTTGATGTTAGATACTTTTAGGTATGCTTCGTTGCAGACTCCATTGCTCAGATAGTATTATCTCAGCTAAAAATAATAAAAATTCTGGCTATGTTAAA